GACCCGGGCCCGCCAGCAGCTCCCCACTGCACGGGCAGCAGCACAGTCCCGGCAGCCGTTCGTGCCCACTCACCCGCCGCCCCACTCCCGGCGGCTAGCTCGGAGCAGTACCAGCTCCGCTGGGGCTGCAGTGCCGACGGCTGCGCCTCCTCAGGCAGAACGCGAGCGGTCAGCCCCAACGCGACGCGGCACGGCGCAGCTTGCGGAAGCTTTCAGGGCGGAACGCGCTGCCAGAGCATTGGCTGAGGACGGCGCCAATCACACGTTCGCCGGGCAGGGCGGGATTAAGGGCGGTGCGCTCGGTGCCAGCCACGCCCAGCGTACGTTGGGGGTGAGTCGGGGATCCGCCAGGCCGGGCCTGGGCTCCTGGTGGGACGCTGGCTGGTCTGCTGGTGGATTGTTGTTGCCCACCTCGCGCGAGCAAGAAGGTAGTGTCGTGTGGCTAACGGGTATTCATTCTTATATCGTAAGCTCGAGAGCCTCCTCCCCTCCACTTGTCCCGGTCGGGGCGGGAGCGCCGGCGGCCGCAGTGGGCGCCCCTCCCCCCTCCCCTAGCGGGGCGGGAAGCGGACGAAGCCCGGCTCGCGGGCGCGCACACCTGGAGAGCGGTCTCCCAGCAGGTGTGGGCTGCTTAATGTCGATTTGGACTTTCCTGGCTAAATGGTGTTTAGGCCTTTGTTGCAGCCCATTCCTCAGATCCTTCTGGGTGCAGATCTTAAAGTTGTTGTTTGCCAGGCAGAAACTTTAATCCCTGACGGCCGTAACTCAGCCTGTCTAGAGTGTGAGTGAGGGGTTTTATAATATTGTAGGTTGTGGCATCATGCAAGTGGCGGAAGCAAACTTTTCGGTTAACCATGATTTTTACTGGTGTCATTCTGGGTCTGTCTACACGCTGAAGGCAGGTACTTGTGTTATATGCTGAGGAAATGTGGGTACCAAGAAATGATCTTTTTCTTCGTTTTTTGGCCGCCCCCCGCGGGTGCAGGGTGGCTTGTGGGGACCTTAGTTCCCTGACCAGGGATTGAACCCGCGTCCTCGGCAGAAAAAGCTTGGAGTCCTAACCATTGGACTTCCAGAGAATTCCCCCAATAATTGATCTCATTCAAGAACGGGGAGGAAAAAACTAGATTATTTGGAATCATCTTTGAAATTGAATTTCATAAGCTTGGCAGTACACAGTTTTTTTTATTCATACTGCTGAAATAACTTACAATGGCTTTTCAAAATTGGTGTAAGAGAATGTTGACTGTATATACACATATATATGTGTACATATATTGCATATCTAATGGCCTTATAAAACCAATTAGGTTAGATTTATTACGTTTTTTTAAAAAAATAATTATTTCATTGTGTGCTTCCTAAAGTTTATCTATGAATTCTCTGATCTTTACTTCTTTTTTAGGTACACTGTTAGCCTTAACTGAATTTCCTGATCATCAGCACTCTTTCAGGAGTGTTTGATTTACCTCTCAGCAAATATAGAAGACTGATTCCTGGCATTCTTAGACATTCTTTGCTGTGAGTCGTAAGCCTGATATCAACCCTTCCACTTTTCAAAAGATGCCACTTGGTACACATACGGTGGAATGCTTGTTATGTTCCAGAGGTTGTGCTAGGGATATGAGATTAATATATCCTCGAAGAACTCTTAGCCAGGAGGAAGGGACAGAAATACAATACTTAGAATAATCTGTGATGAGTTTGGGTTTTGAAATAAGGAAAAGGTGCTCTGGGAGTACAGAGGAAGAACTGCCTAATCTGTTGGGGCAGGGGTTGGAGCTGGTAAGAAAGGCTTCCTCGAGGAGGTGATACTTGAACTAAATCTAGAAGGATGGTGAGAAGTCATCAGTAGAGAAAGGGATCCTTATGAGCCAAGGAAGGAGTCACTGCCATCACATTAAGAGAGACAAGTTGCATAGTATGACTGGCCTAGTGTGCATTTGGAGAAGAGTGGGATGAGATTAGAAAGACAGAGGTTCAATTGTGAGGAGTTTGGATTTAACCTAGTTAGTAATTGGAAATCTTTATAAAATTTTAAGTAGGATAGCAACATGATTAAATGTAAATTATAGAAAGAATCCTGTAGGTGGTTGAGATTCCAGGCAAGCTGTCAATTAGCTGGTTATTGCAATAGGTCAGGGGAAAATTGTTGAAGGGCTGAACAGAGGCAGTAGCCATAGGGATAGAGAGGAAAGAACTAGTTTGAGAAATATTTAGGTAGTAAGAGAGGCAGGAGTGGGCGGCAGGATGTAGAGAGTGAGGAGAATTTCAAGAATGACTCAAGGTTTCTAATTTTGCTTTGTGAGACTGGATGAGCATAGCCTTTGGAGTCAAACATGACAAAATATGCAGGTGTGCATCTGTCACTTAATAGTTGTGTGATCTTGGAACAAGCGATCAAGCTTTTAAATCCTGTTTGTGATAGAGGAATGACACTATACATAAGCTTGTTGTGAGGATTAACTGGAATAATTATATATATATATTTAAGTAACTTATGTTAGCTGTTATTTTTATTATCAAATAAATATAGCAAGAAAGACAGTTAATTAGAGAAAGATCTGATCTCTTTGGGACATGTTGAGTTTAGGGTGCCTTTCTGTCATCTAAATGATGATATTTAGAAAGTAGTTGGAAATAAGGCCCTGGATTCTAGAAAAAAGCCTGGTTAGGAGATATAAGTGATGAAGGGGATGATATGGAGTCCAGTTAAAATAGAATGCATAAAGGGAAGGAGTTAAGGCAATGGTGACTTGATGGGAAGGAGGTCACTTTTCCTAATGTTTTACCTTGGCATGAGGTAGGTGCCGATAAAATTATTTTTCGTGGCCACTTCATTAATAATTATGAAGTACTCATCTTGAGTGAAGTACTCTGATTACTCTGTGTTGCATCCAGAAATACGTAATTCCATGCATTCAGAGGTTGTATAGGTCAGGACAGGGGTGTGATAAGCAAGCCAAGTTCTTTCGGAATGGGAGGAAAGGGTCATTCCTGGCTGGGTGATCAGAAAGGACCATGTTACAAATGATATTGAAACCGGGTCTAGAATGATAGATAGTATTGCATTAGGAGAAAGTGGAGGTGCAGATAGGGTGGGATTGCTGGCAAAGGAAGATTTTTGACTTGGTCACTAAGAACAGTGAGTTATTAAGAGAAATAGCAAAGTTAAGTGGGAGGTATGGAGGGCGGAACAAGAAGATAAGTTCTATTTTATAAACATTTTGAGGTAGTAGTGACACTGATTGTAAGAAATGCCTGTCTTAATTCGGGAAGAGAGAGATCACTGTTGAGATGTAGATTTAGATGTTATTCTATAACATCTAAGGTTATAGGGTTTTGGGTATATAAGAAGAGGGGAGAGGGATTAGGGAATGCCCATTTTTCTGGGAAGAGAGTGAAGAAAACACGAAGAGATCCAAGAGGTATTGCTGGATGGTATAATCCTTGAGAATAGGCAGTATCATCAATGTCACATGCTTCAGGGATATCAAGGAATGTGAATCCTGAGAAAAGGATTTGATGATTTAAGAGCTCATTGGTGAACTTGAAGAAAACAAAATCCTAACTGGTTGCGTAAGCTATTTTGCAAGGGTTTTAGAAGTGAGTTGGTGATAGGGAATTGGTGACGGTGAATACCGGTTACTTACTTATTCAAGTTTGGCTTCATAAAGAGAGAAGATAATCATAGAGTTAATAAGGTTGAGGGAAGAATTTTTTGTTTTTGTTTTCAAGACCAAGAGGCCTGGAGGAGGGATGGGACTAGATAAAGAAACTAGGTGAAAGTGTTAGTTTAGAAGAAAGGCATTGGTCTGAGACTGAGTGAAGAAGAACGTGGGTAGAGGTGGAGACATTTTAAGAAACCAAAGGACACAGTATGGTGGAGGAGGTAAAGTGTGTGAAGATAGAGTTGATGCTGTGGTCTGCCTTGATCTCAGTAAACTAGAAGAGGGGGAAGATTGGGATGAAATTAGGGACTTGCTGGGGAGAAATAGAAGATTTTGGAAGAGAGATTATAGAGAATGAGACAAAGATGATGAGATTAATAAAGAGATTAATTAATCTCTGCAGAAGGAGGGAAGGTTGAGGTGAGGCTAGGTTTATACGCCAGAGCTTGCTTGATAAGTGTTTTTCTTAGATCCCTGGGACTCTCAAACTAAGGAAGAAGACTTCTTAAACCCAAGCCTAACCTGATACCAAGCACTGGGTTAGCTCCTGTGCGGCTAGGGGTTAGAAGTGTGTTGGGTGGTGTGGTATTCATGTAGTAGTTTGGAGGAACTCAATTTAGTCCAGAGATCCTGGGATTTTTTAGCATGTCTATGTCAAGCACTATAATACGTTGTATGCATTATCTTATTTACTTCTCACCACAACCATATGATATCATTATTATCTCTATTTTAGGTTAGGTGATTGAGTTTTAGAGTTTAATTTTAATTTCCTCAACATTATATAGCTATTAGTGTATAATAATAATTAGTGGCATATTTTTCCATTGTGCTAATCAGCTTTGCCTTGTACAAAGCAAAATATAGTTATGAATTGTGAACAGTTAACACCATTCAGAACTCAGTATATTGACTTCTTCCCAGAAATGCATCCCTTAAAATTTTATGTAATCATTGTAATGGCTATACTCCATTTCTTGCTCAGTTACTTATTTTTAAACTTTATTTGACTCTGCTTGTTTTATGTCTTAAGTTGCCTGAGAAAGAATCCTAAACAGAAACCTTTCTATTTGGTTTGGTTTGTCTTTGGCATTGTTGCTTTGTTTGGCTCTAGATTCCATAGGGTCAGATCATCATGTGAGCATGTAACTAGTCATGGTAAATTAAGGAAGTACCTAGGGCTCCTCCCCCTCCCCCCACCATTTTATTGTCAAATAAAATCATGACTCTAGAGGAATTGCATGTTGTCAAGTATTTCTTATTTGCCTGAAATCTTTTCTGAGTTAGGCATTAAGGTAGTTGCAAACCCCACTCCCTGCAAATTTTATATACATGATTTCCATATGAAATTTTTTGTTTCTTTGTTTGAAAAGGTTTCAGACAAAGGGTTTCATGGCTAAAACAATTACTGGCAGAGAGATTTTGGATGTACAAGTTGGATCGGC